TAGGCAGAGATTCTTAATCATATCATAGAGTATTCTCCCTCAAACGGTTTAAAAGTTCCATGGCTAAGTGGCTTAACCCCAACTATGTCGTGGACACCCTCTAATGGAGTAACTTTGAGATAGCCAAAGATCAAGGACTTAACACAAGACAACTATAATGCCTCAGGTCAAGGGACTACTTTGCTTTATCCCAACCATGAGTTCTCATGTGACATGAGTATGAGAACTTCTTGTTGATCGTGTTCAGTGAACTCATTCTTTATTGAGCACCTACATACTTGTCTTGGTGTCAGTCACACCAATGACTCAAGACTAGTTACTCTATCTAAGAGAAGACATAACATGCATTGATCTTAACGAATTGTCAATGCCCAATTGGCAATCCTATAATCAGAAACGTTTAGGACATGTATAAGAAAGAGAATGGTCTCATGAATCTAACTTCTTTAGATCACATTCTCCCAATTATATATTCCTTGGACTTATCGTTTAAGCATACAACATTTATATGAGATAGATTAAACAATAATCTTTGTCCTTTATATATATATATATATATATATATATATATAAACTAGATTAGTTTAACATGTGAAATGTTCATAAAGTATCATCATATGATTGGCTTTTAGGGCATATTTCCAACCATAACTAGCACTTGCTGACATCCACTTTCGATAATCTAGGAAGTTATTTCTTGTTATTTTGTGTAACTATCCATCTTATCTAGGATGGGAATATTATTTATTTATGCTACAATTTTATTTGTGCTCATTGAATGCATTGTAACAAGGGTTTATCCCTACACTCTGCACTCCTAGTTTAACTTAACTTTAGACTTTGGTTTTTAATTTACCCATACTCTTACACATCACTTGCATATTATGGCTTTTTCACCCACTTGGTCTGATCACCTTTGTTTGCTTGTATGAACTAACCACAAGATACTCCTATCTGGTATGATATGGGAATCACAATGCCCAAAGGCAAAGCCAGTTATGGCCAATGGAAGTGCAAAGGATGCCACATCTTTATTGTTAATCAAACGATGCAAACTAATTTCCTTCTGTTGGATATCGAGGGTTTCTATATGACCTTGGGGATGGTTTAGCTACATTAGAATTATACTGTGGTAGATTGTCAATAAAAAGTAGTCACTTTCCAATGACCCAACATGCTTATTGTGACCTTCACAGGCAAACACAAAAGACTGAAGCGTGAATTAACTTCTGCTAAGAAAGCAAAATGGATGTTGAGGAAAGGTTGTCAAGGCTACTTAGCTCTTGTTGATGAAGGAAGATATTCCTCCAGGAGTTGAGTATGTGCATGTGATCAACCAGTTTTCTGTTATTTTTCTTGAAGATCTACCTAGAATACGGCCGGATAGAGAATTGAAGTTCACCATTAATCTACTTCCAGTACAAAATCTCTCTCTCTTGCACCCTACTGCATGGCTCTAGTAGAGTTTAGAGAATTGAAAGCTCAGTTACAAGAGCTTGTAGATAAATGATTCATCTAGCCTAGCACTTCAACCTAGGGAGCTTTAGTCTTGTTTGTGAAGAAGAATGATGGAACTTTGAGGCTTTACATCGATTACATATAGTTGAACTGGTGAGGATTAAAAATCGTTATCCCTTGTTTCACATTAATGATCTATTTGACCAGCTCCGTGGTGCTTGGGTTTTCTCCAAAAATGATATGAGGTCTAGATATTATCAAATGAAGCTCAAAAGTGACGATGTTCCCAAGACTGCGTCATGACTTGATATGGTCATTATGAGTTCCTTGTGATGCTATTCAGGTTAATAAATGCTTGAGCGGCTTATATGGACTTGAAGAATTGGTATTTTGTTCGTGCTGCACATGTTTGTGATAGTCTTCATCGATGATATTTTGGTTTAGCAAGGTCGAGCATGTTAAACACATGCATTTGGTCTTAAAGAAGCTAATGTAGAATCAGGTTTACGCCAATTTCAGCAAATGTATTATCAAGTGTCCTTCTTTGGACACATGATTTTAGTAGAAGGTATTCATGGTGATCTTCAGAAGATAGTTACGATGAAAAATTGGGAGCATCTACGGAGATATGGAGTTTGCTTGGTCTTACCGGCTACTATCGAGGCTTTGTGAATGATTTCTCAACCATAGATTTACATCTGACAAAGCTGACTAGGAATGAGTTAGATTCAAATGGGATGATAATTGCAAGTAAAGTTTCTAGAAGCTGAAGTATTGTCTCACTTATCCCATTTTCTAGCACTTCCCAATGACATCGGTAATTTTGAGATCTATAGTGACACTTCATTGAATGGTCTAGGCTGGACGTTGATGCAGCATGGTAGGGTGATTGTGTATGCATCTCAATAGTTAAAACTTCATTAGAAGAACTACCTTACCCACGATTCGGAGCTAGCATTTGTTGTTTTTGCTCTAAAATCTGGTGACACTATCTCTAAGGGGAAATATGCCGAATCTTCACAGATCATGAAAGCCTTAAACATCTCTTTACCACACACAATAAATTCCAAAGTTAAAATTTGAAATTAATTAAATGAACAATTTATACAAAAATCTTAGGTATATAACATATTGCTATCTCAACTTTGGATCACATAACAAACTCATAACTGTCTTTTGAACATTGCAATATCATACATCAACTTACGAATTTGTTGCAATGCTAGACCTCCGTTAAATTTTCTATCAATTTGATTGTTAAATGATAACGTGGAATAAGTGAGTCCTTTTTTTTATTCACAGAAATACCAAACAAAGAAAAAAACAACTAAAGAATTGTGTTTAAACTAATTAGAAATTTAACTAAAATAATTAAAAAGATAATTGAATAATTAAAAAAAATATAAACACTCTAAAAACCCAGAACGAAATTTTTCTGAGTTCTTCGCGTTCATCTACGTCGAGCTCCCCAAGTTTCGAGAAGCACCCTGCAAGAATGACCCGCTCCAGAACGTTTACATAGCTTTGCAGGCGTGGAAGCAGGCCATTTTCTTCGACCCGCTCAACATACAGGCAATTGGGTCGGATCTTATGTCTACAAATACATCGGTTGTGAGGAGTTTCAAATCGAGCTCCGATTTTGCGAGGACGTTTTTCGATTGGGTTTTCTTGTATGAGATGATAAATTGAGCTCCAAGTCGTATAATTCAAAGCTGAGTGTTTTGGGAGTTAATGGTTTGTAAATGATTTTTGGGTTTGGTTTATGTTATGAAGAAGAAAGGGTATGGTGTGGCGACATAGTGTAGGATAAAGCTTTGGAAAAGTTTGAGAAGGATGGTTCGATGGTGATACTGAGAAATTGAGAGCGGCGTCTGCATTAGGATTTGTGTGTTGCGTATTCTAGCTATATGGGTTTGAGCTCGATTGGAGCAAGAATCAGTTCTATGAATGTTTCCTCGGGTGGTGCCGGCGGAGCTGCTCCATAAGGACTTGTACGAAATTAAACATGTACTCGAAGATTCAATATGAAATCACACAAAAGGAAATCGAACAGGAGCAAGATGAACCGGAAGATTCTTAATTAATTTTAACTTTTTAATTTTTTTTTCTTCAATGTATTAATATTTAATTAATTTTTCAATTAATTGGGCAAGGTAGTGGGTCCTACGCCTACTACATTATCCTTTTAACAACCAAATTGATAGAAAATTTAATAGAGATTTGACATCGCAACGAATCTGTAAGTTAATATATAACATTGCAATGTTCAAAATATAATGTATGAGTTTGCTATGTGGCCTAAAATTGAGATGGTAAAATGTAATCTATAAAAAAAAAAAAAAAAAATCTTTTTTGTGGTAGTTCATATATTCTAAAGTCCCTTACCAAATTTTATTTTATTTTTTAGAGAATAGGTAAATAAGATCTCGTTTAATAACTCGTATAAAAAACCGGATAAGATTAATAATACGAGGTGTTTGGTGTAATTGTATAGAAGATAGTCATCGGATTAACTAAACTATCCAACCGTATTTTATATGGTCAGCACCCGCTGCTTTGTCCCCTCCAAAAGCCTAGTAGTATTTGTCTGATGTCCGGAGCTCTAAAACACGTTGAAAGCATTAAACACGCATCTGCTTTCTCCCGCTCGTCTTCGAGTCTTGTTCGCATCTCCTCTCTCTCACCTCCTCTGATACGCCACTCCTTGTTGCTTCTCTATTCTTAGAACACCATTAGATTTGCAAAGATTAGGAGCAACCCAACTGCACTTATTGCAATTTCAGTCAGCAAAAATCAATTTCAATAAAACATCGATTCAGTAATCACCATTCCTCTGTCCCTTAGCTTCAGCCCAAAACAAAATCAATTTGCAGAATTCTTTATAATTTCAAAATCCAGTTGAAGGAAAGATTTGATTTGGGCTTTTTATTTAAATGGGTTAGAAATGTTGGAATCTAGCAGCAGTGATTGAAGGGAGTGATGGAATAGTTGTTGCTCCCCTTCCCTTCCTCAGATTCAAATCTGCACTTTACGCAAGAACAAAAAATGAGTTTTTCTACTTCAACAAATCAGTCATTAATCCGATAACGTACCAATCGTCCGATTAATTAAATCAATAGATGCAGTAATTATTCTATTCAACTGAAATAACTATTACAGTCCGAGCTGTCAAATGAGATTTAAATAAGATTAGCGTGCATACATGAGCTGACCTAATCTAATACGCAAGGCCCGATCACTGTTCATTTTAAAAATGTGCAAAGTCCGGCCCAATGATTTTCTATACTTTTTGTTTTTTTGTTTAGATTTGTTTTGGTTTGGATTAGCAAATAGCAAAACTTTAGTGTTTCATTTACGGAAAAATAATGGAAATAATTTGAAAATTTTGAATTTTAAAGATAAGAACAAATTAAAAAGTAAAGTATATAGTACAATGATTGATTTTTTAATGTAAAAATATAATTTTTCTTTAAAATAAAAATCACACTTTCCGTCAAAGTCATTTTTATTTATTTATTATTTCTTGAGAGGGAAGCCATTGTCTCTTTATTTTGTAGCTGTTTGTTTCTCAGTCGAGCACTCAACAGACAACAATAAACAGCAGAAAAATAAAAAAGAGGAAGAAGAAGAAGATGAGCAGCATCGGAACAGGTTACGATCTCTCCGTCACCACATTCTCCCCCGACGGCCGGGTCTTTCAGATCGAGTACGCCGCCAAAGCCGTCGACAACTCCGGGTACCTACCTTTCCTCTCCAAACCCTATTTTCTTCCCCGCGGCAATCCAAATTCTCAATCTGCAGGATTTTTCGCCATCTGATTTGGGGTTAAGGGTTTTGTAATTGGAAATTTTTGTGTTGCAGGACTGTTATTGGGATCAAATGTAAGGACGGCGTTGTTATGGTAAACCGTTTTTTCTTTTTCTTATTTATTATTTATATAAAAAATATTTGATATTATAAATTTTTTGAAATTCTTGCTCTCATACGCTTGGATATTCAAACTTAGCGGATTTTTCTTTATTTAAATTGATTTCTTTTGAATTTCAGGGTGTGGAAAAGCTCATAGCGTCGAAGATGATGCTGCCCGGTTCCAATAGAAGGATTCATTCAGTCCATCGCCACTCCGGGATGGTATTTACTTGGATTCTTTGTAGATTTTTGCTGTTTTGTTTAATACCCAGTTCTACCAAATGCTCAGGGAGCTCAGTTATGGTTAATTTGTTAACTTTTTGGTTTTTAACATATCTTTTACTGCTAATTAAGGAGGTCAGGGTTTTGTTGTGGTCATGATCGTTTGAATGTTCGATTATATGTTCCATGGACATATATAATGTGAGGGAGATTCCATAATCTTCATAAGAAATTTGAATTAACTACTGAGTTATGAAGGAAATGGAGGGTGTGAGGAAGGAGCAATACTGCTTGTAACTGTTGAATCAATATATCCTTAATTTTTATATATAAAGTTACAGAAATCTTTTACTACATGTTAAAATAGTTCAGTTTTGCTGTTGGGTTATCTGAAAGTTCGGTTGCTCTGGCCTCTAACTGCGTTTTGAAAAGAAAGAAGTGTTTCTCTTGCATCTTAAAAATATGAGAGATCTATCTCTTAAACTTAAAGCAATCCTGGTGCTCAAAGAGTGATTATTTTCACAAATTTGCAGACCCTTTTTTTCTTCAACCAAACAGGAGTTAGCACTTGAATATCTCTGACTTACCCTCCATATCTTAATGTATATACTCCTATCCTCATCATTGGGATTGTATTTGAAAACGAGTAGCATATTGACTGCTGCTTATTTTCAAATGCGACTGGGAACAGAAAAGTCACAAGTTGGTTTGAATCTGTAAGACTGGGCTAGCCTGAATCTTGCATCATTTGTGCATTTCCGTTTAAGATTTCCTTATTATGCTGTCAAACTGGTGATATGTTATTCTAAACAGCATGTGAATTTGTATAATTAATTCCAAACTATAATTTGATGCATCTTTAATTCCTTAGCTCATTGGTGGATATGTTGAGATATTCACAGATTTTCAAACATTTTGGTGCCATATCTCGATTTTTTGACATCCTAAGAGATTTGTCTGATAATTTTGGTGGCTTAAGTATATCCAATCAATTTTACCATCAGAGAACTGACTTTCAAAAGTAGTGTATGATGCATTTTGTGATATTTACCATTTACAGGCAGTGGCAGGATTAGCTGCGGATGGTAGGCAAATTGTTGCTAGGACCAAGTCTGAAGCTACCAACTATGAAAGGTTTGCCTTTTCCTTTGGATTTCATGTATAAAACAAACAAGAAAATGTGGAAGGTCTATGTTCTTTGGAACGTCTAAACATTTTCTCTCTCCCTCTCTATCACTCGTGGATTTGTGTTAATCTATCCTTCCCTTACTATCCTTACATTTTCCCTTTCAGTTTGTCACACTAGTATAATTTGAAAGAACAGGTCTTTTAGTCTGGATTTGTATTTAAATATCAACTCTAAGTTGGTTAGTCTGGATTTGTATTTAAATATCAACTCTAAGTTGGTCTAATCTATTCTGAGTATATATAGTCTTACTTTGGCAGGTAATTTAATGAGTCAATAGAAAGGCCCAAAATATTTTTTTTGAATCCCACTTGCATGCTACATGCACACAGTGTAATCTTTACAACTGCTGGCACCTTTATAAAATGAAACTAATTTTTGGTCCCTCACTAGATGGCTATTATCTATTTTGCATACACTTGTATTTTCAGGAGTCAGGACTTGTTTATTCTTGTTTGACGCCTGTTAATAATGGACATTAAGAGGTCAATTTTGTTAATATCCGCTCGAGTTATCTAGACAGTTTGGTTGGTGAGCAAGTTCTGTAAATGTTGCATCATAATTGTTTGCATGTGCATAATTGTAACAAAATATATTCTCTTCCTTTTTTAGAATGATTACCATTTGCTATTTCATGATTGGCTCGTAATTATACATGATTGGTCTTTGTACTTTTAGTTTATTTGTCCTTATTTTTATGATTCTTCCTGCAGTGTGTATGGTGAACAGATTCCTGTTAAGGAACTTGCTGAACGTATTGCTAGTTATGTGCATTTGTGTACACTATATTGGTGGCTCAGGTTTGTTGAGAACTCACTAATCATGCTGTCATTTCAAAGGTTCTTTTCATCTCTTCTGATTATCTGTGAATGTTATATTGCAGACCATTTGGATGTGGGATAATCCTTGGTGGTTATGACAGAGATGGGCCGCAATTATACATGGTTGAACCTTCTGGTGTTTCTTATGTAGGTTTACTTTTGTATCTGGTTGTCATTGCTATAAGAATAGTGTTTATCCTTGAACATTTGAATTATGTTTTTTTCTTTGGTTTTTTGTATTAATCTTTGCTTGTGCATATCATCTAGAGGTATTTTGGTGCTGCAATTGGAAAAGGCAGGCAGGCTGCTAAGACGTAAGTTCAGAGTTTGATTTCTAAATTTTTTCTGACAGATATTGCAGTATTATAAACTTTTTTTCTGTGTGAAAATCGTCCTATTAATATGGGCTCAATTTGGTCTATCTTGGTCACTCTGAAAGCTAGTGAACAAAATAGGGTAGAACTAGGCTGGAAGAGTTTGGTTTAAGGAACATTTGAGAATATAGGCTGTCTATAAACCTCGAATCAAACAAGAATTGAACTACCAAACTGTAAGCCTTGAATCAAATAGTCAAAGACCAAACCAAAATCAATCTACCAGGCTGTATAGAGCCTATAGTAATGACAAGGATTCTTGAGCATGTGTCTTTTACATTTTAACAAAGACATTAATGTCAGTTTTTTTCTGACTTTAATACGTTTTAATTATTTTTTATTATGCTGAGAAATTTGAATGGTGATACTTATATATCCATATCATGTGATGACAGAGAGATTGAAAAGTTGAAGCTTTCAGAGTTGACTTGTCGGCAAGGCGTTATTGAAGTAGCCAAGATGTGAGTGACATATACAATGAATACTTTGCTCTGCACGTTTTAAGTTGATAATAATGATGATGACATCTAGCTATAGACTTCTAGACATGGAGTTATTTTGTTACAAGGTCATTAAATAATGGTTAGTTTAAAGTGTACTGTTCCATTTATATGCCTAAACCAGTACGAGTCCTATCTTTTTATTGTTCTGTAACAAATGAGAGTTGCTACAACAGCTATTTGAACTGTGCCTTCTTAACGGAATAATTACTGGACAAACTATAATAGAAAAGAAAAAGGAAAGAAGACTTCATTGTGAACTAAACAAAGGCAGTTGCCTTTGTGCAATTTTGGTGTCTGTGTAAGATTAAACGAGAATTGAGCAGATGAGGACTGCACATGGGCAGAACTGCTCTTGGACTCTATGCTCTGTATCTGGGAAGATTTTGGACAAAAATTTATATTTGTTACCCATATGGAAGGTAATATAGGGTAAGAGATAGATCCAAAAAAGTCTACATGGTGGGGAATTTGTGGGGTTAGAGATACATCTTTACAAGTCTATGTAAAAGTTAATGATTTTGCACCTCAAGGCCCTTTTCTTCCTTGGGTTTAAGGATTCTGCGGTTCTTAATTGTGGGCTTTGTTCTGGTCCTGTTGCTGTTGTTTTTTATTTTATTCTTCCTTTTGGCTTAGCCATGTTGTGGTGCAGCATTCCCGTCTCAACTCTCAAGTACTCTTATTAATCTCTAAAGAGAATTCATTTTTAACTTCCACCAAAAATAAAAAAGTTATTAGCCAGATGTATCTCACTTATTATTTCACAGTGCATCTAGTTGTCAATGTTTTGATATGACGGATGAAATACAACTCCTCAAGTTGGATCCTCAAAGAGGCAGTGGCATGTTGCATAATTGTTATGAATATTAGTTTGTATTTCTTTAATCATATATTTATTTTAATGGGTCATTTGTTTTTCTGTTTCAGACACTTGGTTGTTTCAATCGCTTCATGAGTTAGCCCTGATTTATATCCTTAACTAATGTGCTTGTTGTATAAAAGTGATCTAATAGTAAACTCACTCATGTTATATCACCCCCACATTGCATAACAAATATTGTAGCATTCATGTATTTATACATCTCTAGTGATGCTCAATCTGAACTTTCTACTAATTTAAATATTCAATGATGCACAACAGCATTTATGGAATTCATGATGAGGCAAAGGACAAGGAGTTTGAGTTAGAAATGAGCTGGGTCTGTGATGAATCAAACCGTCTGCATCAGAAGGTATCTGAATTTCTTTCCAAGTTCAAGGCACCTGCAAATTTCTAACTAATTTACGACATGGCTTTTATTTTTATTTGCCACATTTGCTTCTCATACCATCCTTTTGACATTTTATGTTTTCAGAATTATTTTTGTTTTAATTCTTTTTTGTTTCATTTTCTATTTTCCTTTTAATTGTTTGTTACACACCATTGTTTGTGAATTCTAAGCATGAGTCCATAGCTGTTCTTAAGGATCCACCGATCAGTTGAGTGGCCCATGACTCCATGACCAATAACCTATATCTCAGTTGGATCATGTAGAATTGTACATTTCAATTGCGGGTCTCACAAATGCTAACGTTTGGAACAAAAATTGAGTACATTTTTGGAGCCTGAGCTGATTCTCTTTATTTGTATGATCAATTTCCATCTTGATTTATTTATGCAAAAGATTTTCATTATGATCTAAGACTGTTAATTTGAATCAATGTTTTAAAAAAAAAAACCCCAAGGCATGCCTAAGCAGCTTTTGGGGTGGGGCGGCGGTGAAAACACCTCTTGCCAGTGGGAGTAGGCAAAAACTTGCCTAGACATGATCGAGGTGCGCCTTAGGGCGAACTGGGCGTTTTTGTTTTATTTTATAAAACTTCTTCTCAGTCTTCTTCGTTCGACACTCGAGTCCTCGACAGCCTCGCGTTCTTCTTCTTCTCCTCTGTGAATCGCTGAAACCCTCTCTTCTCTTCTCACGATACCACCAACTGAGCAGCACCTGCCACCACTCAGTGAAGAGGGAAAGTGAGAGTGAGGGACAGTGTACCATGGGAAAGAGAGTGGGTGGGGGCTGCATGTGGAGCATATTAGTATTGTAAAATGAGTGGATATTAACGAGGGAAAGAGACTGTTCGTTGTCAATTTTTTTGTTTTTTTGTTGGTTTTTATTTCGATGTATGTGGAGCATATTTGGATGAATGATTTTATTTTTGTATTTTTTATTTATATGTTTTTGAGTTAAACTTGTTTATGACTTGTGCACTTTTGAATGACAAGGGATGTTTGTTTTACAAAGTATTATATTTTATATCTATAATATATGTACCTATATCTTATAAAATTTAGGTCCGATGAGGCTTCACCTCACGCCTCAAGGCTTTCACATAGCCGGGGCTATTCATGAAACGTCTCGCCTATGCCTTCGCCTTTTAAAACATTGATTTGAATACAATCCTTTTTTGAGTGCTGCTATTTGTACTACATATATTGACCACCTTGCTGGCCACCTTTCAAATGAAGGTAGTTAGGACCGACATTGGTGGGACCCACGTACCTCTGGTGGTAAAAAAAATGTGGTGCTTCTCGTTTGAAGGCTTAGTTGCTGTTTTTAGTCTATTTCCCCGTTAAAATGCAAGTCATCTCAACCAGTACATGATTTAGAGTTTGTGGTGTTTAAGTTGTGTGTGATTCCTAGCTGCTTACTGATTCACCGAACTTGTGCGCTATATACCTCCACATTTTTCTTTTATTCAAATTTGATGATTTAGCACGGAAGGTTCTGATGCATTTAAACGAAGGCCTATTGACGCTTTGGTTAGAAGATGTGATTACGGGATAGAAGTTCAAGACGGAAGGGGTAGAGGAAGACCTAGGAGGATTTTGGAAGAGACTCTAAGAAAAGACTTAGACTACTTGGATCTAGTGGAAGATGTGGTACATAGCTGAGCGCAATGGCGTTTTAGGATTCTATACAGTCGACCCCACTTAGTGGGAAAAGGCTTTGTTGTTGTTGTTCTTTGTTTCTGTTAGCTACTTCAATACTGTTATAATTTTTTTTGCCTTAGTTGTTTTTGTTGGTTGTGTTCCCTTTTTGGTAGTTATATTTGAAAGGCTGTGTTGCGATACTGCAGATTGATGATTTTGTTATTGGTTATTCAGGTTCCGGATGAGCTTCTAGAGGAAGCAAAGGCAGCGGCTAAAGCAGCATTGGAAGAAATGGATGCAGATTAAGAAGCCGATGAAATAATGTGTAGGTATTCTGAAACCCTACTAGAAGAACATCAACAGAAAAGGGTTACTGAGATAAGATTGATGGATTTTCATTAGCCAACTTGGGCTGCTGTAGTATTTCGTGTACGTTAAAACGTTCAATTTACCAACGTTGTGGTGCAAACCGCATCTGTAGGATGTTTGAGAAACAGAGTTTCACTTACATTATAATGCACATTCTCCTTTTGAACTGCTGAAGTAATTATGTTATTTCACTTGTGAGTTTGCTATAACTTTTGCTGGCGTTCAATTTTTGTTTCTAAACATATTTTGGGATTTTTCCAGTAAACGAATGGGAATTTTGTTTTTGTTTTTTTGGTGGCACTTTTTTACAAGAATCATATCTATCGAATTTATAGCATGAAAATAGTGTTACAAATGAAATGCAAGCCTTTAGACGCCATTCAAGTTCACAGCTACTAGCGGACCCTAACCAATCAAATTACGTGGAAAGGAATAGGGGTGGCCATAAAAACTGTGGAACCGAGAAACCAATTCAAATTGCAAAAAACCATATTGACAAAAAAAAGTCAACTTAGGTTCAAGAATTGGACCAAACCGTTCATACTAGTTATGTTTCTAGTTTTCACCTTAGTAGAACCACTTATAACCGAACCGAACTATGAATATAAATAATTATTTAAATTTATTAGTTATATACATGTGTCATCAGATGAGTAGTCAAACCTAGACTGGTTTTATTTAGTGCGACTACATAGTAGCATTTCTCAATTAGGCTTCACTTCTCAATTCGGTTCCATTTCACTTTCACCTAGTGAGGCCTCATCCTTGGATTATTTTTAGGGAGCTTTCATGATAAGGGCTTGGGCTAAGTTTATTTTAACAAAAACCATGCTATAATTTTATTTAATGAAAAATAATTAAATATTAATAAAAAAAAACCTTTAAATTTTAATAAAAAGGGCAAAAGAGCTTAAACTTTAATGAAAATGATACAATTTTAATATAAAAAAATAAAAAAGGACCTAATGCGCGGGACCTGTGCGTCCATCACATATACTATTTATGAAACTAAACACTATTTATGAAATTGAATACTATTTATGAAAATGAACGGTGCTACACTATTTATTGATCCAATTTCACAAATAGTGCCTAGTTCTTGGTCATATTTCATAAATAGTGCGTAGTTATTGGGTTCAATTTCATAAATAGTGTATAGTATTGGTACAGTTTCATAAATAGTGTCTCTTTCTTGGTCCGGTTTCATAAATAATGTCTAGTTATTGTCCACTTTCAATAATAGTGCCTACAGTTTCATAAACAGTCTCTTCCTTGGCTCGGTTTCATAAATAGTGACTAGTTATTAGTCCACTTTCAATAATAGTGCCTAATTCTTGGTCTAGTTTAATAAATAGTATATAGTCCAATTTCATAAATAGTTTCCACCTATTGGTTTAGTTTTAGAAATAGTGTCTAATTCTTGGTTTCGTTTCATAAATAGTGTTACTTATTGGTTCAATTTCATAAATATGTACTTATTGGTCTAGTTTCATAAATAATGTCTACTTATTGGTTAAGTTTTATAAATAGTGTCTACTTATTGGTCAAGTTTTATAAATAGTACCTAATTCTTGGTTCAATTTCATAAGGTTTGGAACTTGGACCCTTTTTGGTCCTATAAAAGCACTTATTGCATCAAAAATGATAAATGTAGAAGTGATCCTTCAGATTAAAACCTTGAGAAGATTATGTTCTCAGTAATTATATTTAAGAAGTTGTTTTCAATTACCAAATTAAAATTCCCTCATATTTTTTACATACCTACAATAATTAAATGTAGCCTCCATTCAATTTCTTTAGCTTGGATGTCTTCTTAGAGAAATTTTCTTTGTGCTTATAACACAAGTGGTACACCACGTGTTATGTAAGTGGTGGAAATTTTATTTTTTATGTTATTATTTTTTTAACAAAAGAATCTCACCACTGCATAGAGACACGTTGTGTACCACCTCGTGTTCTAGGCATATTGAAAAATCTCTCGTCATCTTGACTACTATTGGGAACCAACACCATAAAAATAAAACTGAGAAATGTAATTCAATTTGTAGTCTTTTTCTTATTGTAAGGAAAAAAAAAATCTCTTAATGATAACTGACAATAGGAGAAAAAAGAGTGGAAAGGGGGGAGTAGGGGATGCGCCCTTAGCAAGTTGTGTTTTTAATGTTTTTATTTTTTATTTTTTATTCTTTGTCCTTATCATTAATAAAGTTAGTAGATAGTTTTTGATTAAAATGCAAAGATTTGAAGTCATTTGCATTAGTTTTCTCATATTTTTATTCTTGTTTATTTTCATGAGAATTGTGTACTTTGAGGATTCTGATTAGAGAAGGGAGCAATGGCTAGAAACTGGGATGGCCACCAGAATGATGAACATTAAAATAGGAGGATTAACCCTTCACCTTTTTGGACAAGTTGATTTGCTTATGGTGCATACTAAGGCCTAGGGTGAATTAGTACAGTAATGTTTTTCAAATTAGAGAGGAGCAAATTTTATTCAAATTAGTTTCACTATAGGTGAATTAGGACAATAATGTTGCTATGTATGGTGTAACATCCCACATTGCCCAGGGGAGTGGATCCTATAAGCCTTATATGTATATTCTCATCTCTACCTAGCACGAGGCCTTTTGGGAGCTCACTGGCTTCCGGTTCCATAGAAACTCCGAAGTTAAGCGAGTTCACGCAAGAGCAATCCCAGGATGGGTGACCCATTGGGAAGTTCTTGTGTGAGTTCCCAGAAACAAAACCTTGAGGGCGTGGTTGGGGCCCAAAGCAGACAATATCATGCTACGGTGGAATCGAGCCCGGGATGTGGTGAGGTCCCGGGTCGGGATATGACAATTTGGTATCAGAGCCAATCTCTGGCTAGAAGTGTGCCGACGAGAACGTCGGGCCCCTAAGGAGGGTGGATAAGTATTGTAACATCCCACATTGCCCAGGGGAGTGACTCTTGTAAGCCTTATATGTATATTCTCATCTCTACCTAGCACGATGCCTTTTGGGGGCTCACTGGCTTCGGGTTCAGTCGAAACTCCAAAGTTAAGCGAGTAATGCGCGAGAGCAATTCCAGGATGGGTGACCCACTAGGAAGTTCTTATGTGAGTTGCCAAAAAAAAAACCGTGAGGGCGTGGTCGGGGTTCAAAGCGGACAATATTATGCTACGGTGGAGTCGAGTCCGGGATGTGATGGGGGCCTAGGCCGGGATGTGACAATTTGGTATTAGAGCCAATCCTTGGCCGGTTGTGTGTCGACAAGGACGTCGGCCCCTAAGGGGGGTCAATTGTAACATCCCACATTGCCCATGATAGTGGATCCTGTAAACTTTATATGTATATTCTCATCTCCACCTAGCATGAGGCCTTTTGGGAGCTCACTGGCTTCGAGTTTTGTTAGAACTCCGAAGTTAATCGAGTTGCGCGCAAGAGCAATCTTAGGATGGGTGACCCATTGGGAAGTTCTCGTGTGAGTTCCCAAAAATAATACCGTGAAGGCGTGGTCGGGGCCCAAAACGGATAATATCGTGCTACGGTGGAGTTGAGCCTGGGATATGGTGGGGGTCAGGGCCGGGATGTGACAATTCATCCCATATTGCCTAGGAGAGTGGATCATGTAAGCCTTATATGTACATTCTCATCTCTACCTAGCACGATGCTTTTTGAGAGCTCACTGGCTTCGGGTTCTGTTGAAACTCCGAAGTTAAGCGAGTAGTGCGTGAGAGCAATCGCAGGATGGGTGACCCACTGGAAAGTTCTCCTGTGAGTTCCCAAAAATAAAACCGTGAGGGCGTGGTCAGGGCCTAAAGCGGATAATATCGTGCTACGATGGAGTCGAGCCCGGGATGTGGTGGGGATTTGGGCCGGGATGTGATATATGGTGTTATTTTTTTATCTTTTGAATTTGAGTTTTGTTTTTTGGTCTATTGAATTTGTTTTTTTTTTGTTTGCTTGCTGCCAAAGTGCTAAAAATATTTGCATTTGGATTTAGTACTTGAAAATGATTCGTTTTGTTTGCAACTTTGTATAACCATTTTAGAAGTATTTGAATGCATGCATCCAAGGTATTCAAAACCGTAAACCGGCATGAGCCAAACCAAAACGGCCATAAACCGAACCGTTGATATTTTCCAGTTCTGGTTCTGGGTGTTTTTTTTTTTTTTTTTTATTTTTATTTTTTGAGGGTGGAACCAAACCAAACCACATCGTGCCCACTCCTAGAAAGAAATTTAGAGGAACTAATTTCTCACATCTTTGTAGGGGATGAACAATAGACATTTCTTTCTTGTTTTTATAACTAAGGGCCGTTTGATAATTATTTATTTTTTAGTTTTTATTTCACTTTTTTGAAAATTGAAATCTTGTTTGGTAATTACTTTCAGTTTTCATATTGAAAGCTGGAAGTACTTACCAAAATACTTCAATTTTTAGTTTTCAAAAAAGTAAAAACCAAAAACCAAAAACTGAAATATGAAATGATCATCAAACAAACTTAGAGGTATCAGTCTCTTGAGACAAAATATGCATTTTCAATTGCCAATAAGGATTGATAAGCAGAAAATGAATTAATGCTTGCCTTTATTTCTGATAGAGAAGGAAGCGATACCCAAGTGAATGGAAGGTTTCTATTTCCCGTTATTTTCCCATGATCAACTATTGTAAATTCAATGGGAGATTTTGAAGTCACTGAAGCTATCACCTTGGGAAGTAGTATAGAGGTTGGAGATGACCCAAAAACGTCCAAACACAGCTTGAACGTGGATGAAAAGTTGATGCTCGAGGAAGAGGAAGATGCCAAAGCCACGGCAAGGATAACACCACCCTTGCCGTAGCCTTCTAAGGCTTCTACGCCATCCAATTCAGGTAAGGTTGTTCCAAAAATTCTTCCTAACCCCATTCCACCAAATGTCCCTATTCTGTGCAGGTTCATGATTTCCAAGGAAGAAGAGAGTGAAAAAGACATTTTGGAAGCCATTCCAAAGGTGCAAAGAAATCAAGTTCCAGAATGTGTTGAATTGTCCAAAGAACTTTGAACAACAAGAAGAATGATTCAAGAGAAATAAGCGGCTGGGGAATGTCTAGAATTCATCACAGAGGATATACTTAAGACAACAATTCCCAAAGAAGTTGGATTTTATGACACGGGACAAGTCATAACTCTCAAAACACCGAATCTGGCT